TGAGTACAGTAGGAGTTATAAGAAGCTGGAAAGCTTCCCATTGAGACACTTGACTCTTCAGCTAATTTGCAGGAAGCTCACTGAGTCAGAGAGGCATTGTTTTGCTGATTAACTGGAGAAAGGATGGAGCAGCTCCATTGGCAGCTGATTAAAAGACAGCTGGATTCTGTTACTTGGTTAAGAGCTATCAGGACCTAATTGCTTTCTAGTCCACTTACAGTGTCAGACAAGGAAAACCTCTTCGAGGTTGCCTGTGTTCTGGTTGGAGAGGGAGAAAGAGAAGGGTCAAGACAGCTTCTCTGTCTGTCTTTTGAGGAGCTATGATTTGCTTTGAGAAGGGGCTTGAAGCTGATTGGACAAAGCAGAATCACCTCCTCCCTGCAGATCTGGTGGTTTTCCAGCTTAAGGGAATTGTTTGTTACTGAAGTAGTGTGACATTTTTTCTCAGTGCCCTTTCAGGGTGGCTGTGAGCAGTAAGAGCCTGTCACTCTCATCAGCTTGAGAACAGAAGAGTTCTAGCTTTGTCCAGAAGGAGACCATCTAGCAAAGAGGTATGGTACCAACCTCGTCAAGACCTATAGTCCAGAGCTGTGAATGACCCCTGGCTACATGAGTTTCCACACTTCCTGCTAGGTTTTTACAAGTGTGCCCTGTCCATTCTTCCCCACAGACAGTGTGCATTGGTGAGAAAGAGTGGCCCAGATTTATGGATAGGCTGCTCTGATGATTTCTGCTTTTGCCTTCTATTGAGGACTATTGTTTCTGTTTAATATTCTAGTTGACGCTGTCATGGTGAATGATTTCTTGTAGATGGGAAGTATAGCAGTCCTCAAGAGTTACAGGGGTGAGTACTAGGAACATATCCTGCCCGCACGAGGGTAACCTCCCCAGAATTCTGAGAGGTTGAATTGTGGCCATGTGGCATACCAACCTGCTAGTGTGAGTTCAGGCTGATCTGTCAGCCCAGAGAGGAATCCATGCTACTCCTAGGCTCGTAGGTAGAGAGAGCAGGTATCGGTGTCAGGAAAAGCTGGGTTCAAGTCAAGTCCCACTTCTGACACTGACACTCTGGCTGTGTGACCCTGGGTAACTCAATTAACCTCTTAGTTCCCCAGGTAGCTCTCAACACGAAAAATTGCAGGTGAGTGCCCACCTGTATTGGTAAAGCGCATGTCCTCACCAGGGAGTTCCTGACACCAAGGAAATCACAGATTTGGACCAAAATAATTAAAATGTGTAGTAGAGACTTTACACTTGCAGGCTGCTGCCTCAGTCTGAAATATAGATGCTTTGTCTAACCCTGACCTTTCCAGCTGGGGGACAGGACCCTCATTTCCCTGCCAGAGTTACTCACTGAAGTTTTTTAGCCAAACAGGAGATTAAGCTTAAGTAGTAGAAATCCTGCTTTTTGGTGAGCATTTCATTCAAAAAACATTTATTAAGTGCATACTATGTGCAAAGATTTTTTTTAAAAAAATTACAATTCCTGCCCTTAAGGAGCTTACATTCTAGCTGGGGCAAGGAGAGAAGAAATACAGCTTGTATGCGGATAAGTATAAAAGAGGGCAGGAGGTGAATGAGAGATCCAGACAAAATGGTCCAGGAAAACTTGGACAGGGAGGGGAAGGAAGAGGGCAGTATAAGGAGGCTTGAGCTGGTCCTTGAAGGAAAATCGAATTTCTGAAAGGTAAAGATGAGGAGGAAGACCTGAGTTCAAATCCAGCCTCAGACACTCACTAGTTGTGTGACCCTGGGCAAGTCACTTAACCTCTGTCTGACTCAGTTTCCTCATCTGTAAAATGGGGATAATGGTAACAGCACCTACCTCCCAGGGTCATTTTGAGGACAAAATGAGATAATGTGTAGAAAGGACTTTGGAATCCTGAAAGAGCTATGTTAGCTCTTATTATTCCAGGCAATGTGGGTAGCCTTCATGAATGTTGAGGTCAGGGAAACGGTTAGCCTTCTCATTGGGCTGAAATGTAGCATAGGAGGAAATGCATGCTTCTCTGCCCCTGCTCCTGCCCCCCCTACCCAAGGTGAAAACCAAAAAGCCCCAGAACAGACAGAGCAATGAGGTATGACATTGGAGTGTTTCCCACTTCAGCGTTCCAGAGACTTGGCTTGGCCCTAAGTATTCACAGTTGACATCGGCTGGTTGCGGGCTACTCTGTAAGCCCCAAAGGGGGTACTTCACAGCTGGTCCCTGCAGCTCCCGATCAGCTTAAAGGTCTTGGGTACCGCTAGTCACAAGTTGCTGTTCATCAGATTCCTGTAAGAGATTTATTACTGAGTAAATCAGCCTACCAGGCTTTCATTTCTCCAGGATAGATTATCTTTTTCTTTTTTTTGCCAACAATAATTCCAAGATGGAAATCTCGTCCTCCCCCACATATGAGTGTGTTTGTTCATATCTGACTGTAATTTATGAAAAGCATTATCTTGGGCTGAGAATCCATTAGCAGTCCCTGCGGGCTGAGCTGGAACGCCACATTACGCA